AAACTTGTAAAAACATATAAAAGATCGCTAAAACTTTAACCTGTAAAACTGAAAGTGGCATTTAAGAGTGTTCTGCTCATAGGGCCTTTATGCTGAAAATATGGTAAATATGGTAAAACTGATGACTTGACGTATTTGACGGCATCCACACTAGGGCCTTTATGCTGAAGATATGGTAAAACTGACGACTTGACGTATTTGACAGCATCCACACATATGCAAACCTCAGAGGTCATGCGTTATTCAATGTTGTCATGGTAACATGTAGACATTGGCTGAATGCACATGTTGGCACATTATGCGAAAGTAATACAAAATGTCCTCTAAAATCCTAAAGTTAATTCACAGGCAATGAGATAAACTTTCAGGGAAACCATGCAGAACCATGGTTATTCTGACTGGGAATTGTTGTTGCAACTGTAACCATAACATATCAAGTACATTTACCAACATAGAGCATCCTATATGCATCACAGCACAGCCTCATCCGGTCCTTCACAGCCACATTCTGTCTCTCACAGCCACATCCCATACCCCACAGGTACTCCATACACCACAGCCACATCCTGACAGCCAAATCCTGTCCCTAACATCCCAAATCCTGTCCCTCCCATTCCATCCGTACCCTACAGCCACATCCCATACGCGGGAGCTGTCCCTCACAGCCATGGCCCCCAACACACACATCCTCCCTCCATGTACCACACATTTAACTAATTCACTCACTTAGATCTGCACCAAGCCATGCACACACTAACACAAAGACTAGGAACTGTATGGTCACCCAGGACCAACACAATCATAGACTAAAAACACTTACAATAATAATAGCAAATAATTCGCCTTGTGCAAGTGAGCCTGACAATATAAGCATCTTCCCAAAGCAAGAGTGTCCACTAGCCTATATATCAAAGTCTAGTTTCTAAAAAGTAGTCTTTGATATAGGCTAGTGAACACTCTTGCCTCGGGAAGATGGACAATTGGTTGATGGAAAATATTGTTAGTTATCTCTGCCGGACACACAACCTGCTGTTGAAACACCCTCAATGCAGGTTTCAGTACTGACCTTTTTCCTTCTACCATTATGTACATTTGCATATTCATATCAGAGATCATCATAAAAGTGTTGCAGTCCAGAAAAGCCCTAAGAAATCATACTGAAATTATTACAGATTGACCAGCACATTACTTAATCCAGGGTCAGTCTCTAATAACTTCCTATCTTGCAGGTCACTTCAGATACATATCACATTTCACTCCACTGTCTATAAGAACATAAATATCCTGTTGTGGTACTTGTTGTGGAAAGTATAACAAATGTCACAGGTGTTACACAATATTGGAATACTGTTAACAAATGTGGAAAATGTTACACAATATTTGAATATTGTTAACAAATGTCACAGGTGTTACACAATATTTGAATATTGTTAACAAATGTCACAGGTGTTACAAAATATTTGAATACTGTTAACAAATGTGGAAAATGTTACACAATATATGAATATTGTTAACAAATGTCACAGGTGTAACACAATATTTGAATACTGTTAACAAATGTTATTTGAATATATTGTACTGGAGAACCTGCTGAAATGTCAACAAAGTAGACACAAGGCCAGCTGAGACAAGGCAGCAGCCATCGTGTGTGGTAATGTCAAACTGTATGTCATCAATCTTCCACATATCTTGTTCCATACTTCTAATGCTGGAGTGGGAGAGCAGCCAATTCTTCCCAAATCAAATACCAATCATCTTAACAATTCCTAATTTCTTTCACATCTTCCAGTCATTGAAAAAAGACCCATACATATGCATTCATGATGTATGTACACAATGCACGCTGGTTACACTCGAGACCTAGGTAAGAGAGAGCAAGTAGAGCTGCATGGAACAGTATGTCATAACGTATTGTGCAGGATATAGATGTTTACCACTATTGTAAAACCAGCATGGTTCTAACATGCCATGGGCCATAACTCTGCCAGGCACTTTTGGGATTCAAACCCTTACCAGAGCCAGCAGATTCTTACAGGAAACATGAAATTGACTTTAAATAACACCATGATCACTCTTAGGAAGACCTGCCTCCAAGGCTTGTAGACGTATGTACTATCATCGTCAAACAGACCACCTGCTTCCATGGTTCGATATCAGGCCAGACGTTTTTCTTTCTTTTTGGCTTACAATTTTTTTGCCTAAAGTTTCAGGTCAGCAGTCAAATATTATAAAAAAAAATAACAATCCAATTTCAAATATCTTTTTTGATTTCCGCAAAATTTTAAGTAGGTAGGTCATGATTGTGTGTGGATGTGGTGAGGTGAGGTGAGTTTAGAGTTACCTCCCTTCTGTAATAGACATGAATCTGTCACTTCTCGTCATGTGTTTTAAGATAAATTTCCAACAGGTTTCAATTGTATTTTAATGATTTATTCATATTGATAGTGACAGTAAATGAGTTCGATTTTTTAACCTTTAACTTATTCATAAAAAGCCAACTGCCTTACACTGTTTCACATACTGTTTTCAATATCTTGGAGTTGCTGGATTTGTAAACCAAGCTAAAAAGAGAGAGTCTGGCCTTATCTCCTAGATGAAAAACAACATAAACACATGTTGAATCTTACTAAATAGAACCAACTGTTTACACAATAAGCAATGTGGTCCTTGACATGACCACCTTATGTGGTATGCTTGAAATGACAAACTTGCTGTGCACATGACAATATTGCACTACCAGTGATACGCTGGTCTAAGAGTGTCACTCTCTCAACATGGGCCACTCTTGCCTTTCAAAAGACTAATGTAACATACCTCAAAAGTGACCAGTAACACTACTTCAAGTAAAAATCTTACTTTGTGATCATGTACAAGAACTTACCTGAAAATATGTCAAAATTAATTCTTTACAACTCATATCAAAAATAGTAATTTCATCTTTTGTACAATTGCAAAAAGAGGTATTCCATTCCAGGGGCTTAAGAACCCTCTTATGGCGCTAGTGTGAGAATCAATCATCATGCAGGGTCACACAAAACAGTGACTGCTAGTATCGAATGTGTCAGCCTACCGTTGTATAAGTATACTACTCAAAAGAAGTTAAGGATCACCAAATTCTTTCATTTTACTATAGATAACCTGTCTGATCTGACAAGAACTGCAGTGATATGAAAGATTAGGGACTGAGATAGCCATTTCACTTTTATATTACTGTGGTTAATTTGTCATAGTATGACAGATTATCTATAGTAAAATAAAAGAACTGCATGGCCCTTTTGTCTTGGTATGACAGATTAACTATAGAAATATGGGAGAATCGGTTAATCCTTAACTTCTCTTGAGTAGTGTCTGTGCATCTGGTAACATGAGAGCTGGTACCAAGGCACAGAGAGCATTTGACAAATTGTGCTCTGTTCACTACGGTGCGAATAGATTTGCAGAATCTGAGTGCTCTATCGACACACTTGTATATCAACTCTTTGATAATCAGTTGACATCCACAAGAACATCTTCTGATGTTTTATAATGAAATATATTCAGGAGAATGTTACTCCTATTGAAGGAAAAGCACATAACGACCAAATCATCTACATAGAAAGCTTCTGTAACCAACATGTACTTCCACTTCATGAATTAAAAGTTCCAGAAAGGCATTACGATATATAACAAGTCTGAACTTCAAAAAGATAAATAGTAACAATATCACATCAATTTATTTTGAAAATGATGTAAAAGTCAATAAATAGTTGTATCATATGCACAATTCATTAACAATTTTTAAAAATAAATTTATGTTCTAAAAGACAAATCAGGGTCCTAACGATAAAGGATTCATGTTACAAAGGTAATACCTCACAACAGTCTAAACACAAAGTTGTCAACAAGAAGATTGTATGCCAAGCTGCTGCAGAACTTTGATCAGGGGGGTCAGATCATTTAACGACACACACAGATCCCATCTACTCCCCATTTTATGAAGTCAGCAAATCCCCCTCCTCCCCATCCCCCAGAGGTCTTATGTTTCTGGTTTCTGCATTCTTCATTCTCAAACCCCTGAATCTGGCCTTTCCTTTCCAGATTTTAAACAAAGGGCAGGTAACTCTAATTTGCCAACCTAAAAGCAAAAACAGTAACAAGCTTTTAAGCCATTCAAACCACAATTGATGCTGGGCCAAAGACAGATTTTAAAAATACCAAAATAACTCTCACACCTTCAACCAAACCAAAAACCAGAAACATAAGACTTGTTTCTCCTAATTTTAAAGTATCTTAGAGATGTAAGATCAGATTTTACATATTTCTTTGTTTGATTTTCGTTTGATTTAGGAACATGAACTTCAAATAATGACATTTACTTCCTCTGCTGTGATAAAATATTCATATTCAATCCAGATGTCTTCAGCCACAAATGGATTCATCAGAATATATTGCAGTTATCAATCTCTCTACACATTATAAACAAGATTAATCTGAAACAACCCAAAGCTAATCTAACAAGACAGGTTTCAGTGTAGCACACAGTCATTAATTCTTTTCTTTTAAGGTATTGCACAAAGCTGTTTGAGGTCTGTAGACACACAAAACCATTAAGTGTCACATTCAGTGATACTTTGTCTATGAATGACAACAGGTGCCTTTACCTTTAAATCAATCATCTAAATAATTTTGGTTAGGGGCTGACCATTTGATATGGGAGGGGGGGGGGATTTTTTTTTTATAGAATTTGTGTGCAAAAAAAATCCCATTGTTGCAAGGTGTTTTTTAGAAGAAAAGGAAATATTTAGACTTAGTTACAAGTAACAAAATATGTGGTTTTGTAGCTGTGGCTGAAGTGAGTGAGTTAGTTGGGTTTAACGCCGCTTTTAACAGTATTCCAGTTATATCACAGCGTGTCAGCTTAATGTGGGAGGAAAGCCCGAAGTGATGCAGGTCTCAGACGTTTACCACTTCGGTGAAACCCACAAGCACAGGTATGGTGCTGACAAACCTAGAAACATAATCAGGGCGAACCGGGATTCGAACCCACAATTATAGGTTTCTGGCATGCCCAAGGGATGCAACTCTGCACAGCGAATCGCGGCGCCTTAGACGACTGGGCCACCCGTGCCCCCTGCTGTTGCTGAAGAAATATCTAGTGTCCAAACAAAATCCCAAGCCCCACCCCACCATGAACATCAAATGGTCGGTCTGTATTTCTTCATTACAATATGCAAAATCAATCCAAAGAGTACCCATTTTAAATCTGATCTTGTTGGGTCAATTAGGCGCAATAAGCAATATCAATGTAGAAGTGAGAAATCTTTGCCTTTGTAATATCTTCCCTGATTCTCAGCACATCCGTGATACTCTATAAGGGATTTGCCAACAAGCACAGTTAAGGCACTATACACAGTCAATGTTCAAACAAAGGGTGGGTGTGGCAAGGTATAACATAGATATTTACAAGACTTATCTCCCTTGTCTAGTCAGACTCCAACACCCACTAGGGGCAGTGTTATGAGAGAAGTATGGCCTTAAGCAGTGTGCGAAATAGCCGCTCATGGCTAGCAAAATTTGGATTGTACTAAAAATAGCCCTAACCTGACGGGCTACTGAAATTTTAACTGTGATTTTTGTATGCTCTTTTTTTATCTAAATAAAAAAAAGTTCTCTCATTTACATCAATACGACCTTAAAAATCAAATTAATATCCGTAACGAACTGAGGTTGCAGTGTCATCACCTTTCATAATATCTGACTCACAATTAGCAATACAGGTTTAAAATAAACTCGCATATTTAAGCAAGTAAAATTTGAAACTGACCAGTAAGTTTTATAGCTAGGCTAGCCAAGCAGGCGAGCAATACTTTGAAATTATTTCACACACTTGCCTTCAGTAGCTTCATGTTGCCTTCCTGAAGATCTCATTATGATCATTGTATAAATACATGTAGAAAGAGTTGAAAGCACTAGATGAAAACTGTTAATTTAACAGATGAGGTCATAGACGGGGTATATATTATGCAGCATTATTGAAAATTCCCTGCAGATTTTTAACCAAATGACGGATATATTGTAAGTAAACACAGGAAGTGTTGAACTGTTTAGAATTGATAAGAATGTCCTGACCAAGTTTTAATTTGTGAACCAGTTACTGTAGCTTCAATTGTGAGAAATGAAGTCAAGGGGAGACAACTCATGTAAACACTTCAGAGGGCACCAGCTCCCACCAAATCCAGATATGTGTTCTAGGAGTAAGACACTAATAATACATCAAAATGGAATAGATTCTGAAAAAAGCAACATATCTTTTATAAACCATGACCACTGGTCAATATCACAGATCACCTAATCATCAATAACAATTGTATCAGTCCGTATTCGTTTGGTGGAACCATTTTTCGATTTGTCATCAGCATTCGTTCTGGAAGAGGGGAATGTGTTAGCAATGATTATACAGTCATCATCTTCATCCTCTTCTGCTAGGCGTTGTTGTTCAATGTCCAACTTGCGTTTGATACCGCGAGTCATGTGCACCTCAACCTCTGGTGTGTCAGTGGAGTTTATATGAATCACTCTCTCCTTGGAGGTGGAGGACAAGGGGCTGTCCACTCGGGGCGTGGCACCCTTCTGGGGGACAAAGCCCATACTGGACATGGAACCCTGAGAGGTACTGGAGGTGTTCGAGGTGTTGGAGTGAGTCCTCACTGGCGACTGCCGCACTGGAGACTGTGTCAGCCCAGACGAAACAGTCGAACTAGAATTATTACTGTCTGTAGAACTACTACGATTGTCTGTTGAGCTTTTCTTAGCTCGACGTCGTTTGGCTAATGGGGCAGTGGCTACGTCTTGAAGCCGGAAGCCCTCTTTCGTAGCCATGTGGAAAGCATCCATTGTTACGGACAACTGCACATTGACAGAGCTGTTGGTGGTGGAGAGAACGCCGGGAGTTTTGAGCGGTGTGTGAGAGAAGAGCTGTAAGTTGCTGCCGTTGACCCACTCGTTCTTCTGCAGATCTGACATCGTCAACCTTTTCCTTGGTTCTACGCGCAACAAACCTGCCAAAAAAGAAAGTGGTGTTAACTTCTTACAAACAGACATCAAAGACTTCTTTACTATGAAAGTCAGGGAGTTGTTTAATGCAATATTCCAGCTGTATCATGGCAGCTTGTAAATAAATTGAGTCTGGACAACGCAAACCAGTGACTGAAGGCATGAGCAACAAGCCATCTTGGCATAATGAAAGTTACAGTTCTGACCTGCACTCCAGATGGGTATGTACTGTGAAAGTTTTAGTGAGAATTGTTCAATACCACAATTGATTTCCAACATCATGACCAAGTTACTTGTTTTGTTACACTTTTAATACCCATGCTTTGATGCATATCTTGTGTTGCCAATATGGAAACAGCAAAGAACAGTGCTAAATCCTCCTACACAGCCCCAACACAACTTAGGACAAGAGCGAAAAAGCGACAGATGACAAAATAACACTAAACCTTGGACGGACGGACTACAGAGAAATAGTGACAGAAATAGCATTAAATCAAGGACTGACTACAGTCCATATAACACTGAAATGTGAAAAAAATGATTCTAAGAATCAAGTTCGGGCTAGTGGAATCAAACGTTTTTGGCCCAGACAGGATATATGAGAAGACAGAGTCCTTGTTTTCAATGCCTACCCTTTATAAGTCTTTTCGCTGGTTCTGACACAGACTTCCATTCAGGCAAGGACATGTCAAACTCTCCTCCCTTGATTCTCGACATGATCGCCTCAGCAGTGTCTTCATGACTCTTTGCCTGGAAGGGGGCCTTCCCAGACAGCATTGTGTACTGAAACATAAACCAACATTGTGAGGTGAGGTGTTGTGAAATGGGAACATCAGATTATTGCACCCATATTGGCGTGTGTGCGTGCATGTTTGAACTAGTCCGGAGTGTGTGCGTGCTTGCGTGTGTCCGGACCAGTCCTTGTTTTAGCCCCATAATGCCGAGCGCCAGGCCGGGTAACAACAAGTACCAACTTTTAACATCTTTTGGTATGACAAGGCAGACACTCTACCACTAGATCACTGAGGCAGTCTTGTGAGTCCGTGAATGCTGTTTACCTAAATATGACGTAGAATGGCACAACATCAGCCATGTCACAGTGTGTGCGTGCGTGCGTGCACATGTGGGAGTGAGTGAGCGAGAGTTGGTTTAACATGGCTTTGAACATATTTTAGTTATATCCCTGTGTTGTCATTTTGAGGAAAGTTTGAAATAATACAGGTCTTAGATTTTTTCACTTTAGTGAAGCTGACGAGGACGGGTCCTTGTACCGATAACTGACTTCACCCTTGAAGTTGCTACCCGTGGTAACAGTGAACCGTATCTCTATGGAAACATATCCATGATGTTTACTCACCAGGATAACACCGAGACTCCACAGGTCACATGACTCGTCGTACCCTGTTTCCCGACTCGTTGTCTGTCGGAGAACTTCGGGGGCGGCATAGGGAAGAGAAAAACAAGGAGTTTTCAGGGGTTGGTTCTCGGGGTTGAGTCTGGCAAACCCAAAATCAACAATCTTGATTTCAGCATCATCAGTATTATCCTCAAATATCAGGTTCTGAAACAAAAGACATTTATTGCCTGTTAGTATCCTGACTAATCAGGTTTGTTTGTTTGTAGTTGAACTGGGCATTATTCCAGCTGCATGACAGTGGCCTGTATACATCAAGTGACTGATATGATGAACCAAGTCACTGGCACTGACCATGCAATGAACCAGCAAAGATTGCTGGGAACAATCCGGAATCACCACGGGGGTCAACAGCAAGCACAACAAAACAAAACTTCACCATATCTAACTAAAACTGTGCTACTCCTTAACCCTATTAAAGACACAGTAGACACAATTTATGGATTACAACTTCTTTATTTTACTGTAATAACGACGTTTCAGTATAGATCCTTATACTGTTGTCAAGCAGGGCTGAATAATGAAAATGGTACAGAATATATATAGTAGGTGGAGGATTAGCAATAACATCAATTGCATACATGAGAGAGATTAACATGAGTAGGTGAAATAATGACAACAGAAGATAATACTGCAACAACATAATAGAGAACACATGATGAGGAAGCCAATTAAACAGGATTAACTATACATAGGTGGGTGACTATTGCTTAATGAGTCCTTTTTAAGACTGTGCTACACCTTAAACATATCAAACTGCCCTACTCCTCAACCATATCTAAGACTACTGAAGCTTGATAAGACTGCAATACTACAGCTTGGTCAGTGACCATGGGCCTTGAGATGGCCAAGCTGACACAATGGAAAGGAAGCTGTCCCTGCTATGCCTACCTCTGGTTTCAGATCGCGGTGCACAACTCCCTTGGCATGCATGAAGTCTACAGCTCTCACTAACTTCTGCATTATCTCACTGGCTTCTGTCTCAGTGAAGCTTTTCTTTTTCCGAATTCGATCCAATAGTTCCCCTCCTCTGAGTACCTCCATCACAATGTAGGTGTGGAACTGTGCCGAAGAAGACAACTCATCAACACAGTGCTTAAAGAAACCATGAAATCCACCACTAGTGGAACTTTATATTCTATTCAAGATTCAAGTCTGTCAGAACCAAATCACTGAATAAGTGAGATTTGTTTGTTAGTTGTTTAACAAAGCACTCAGCAATATTACAACTATATGATGGATGTCTGTAAATAATCGAGTCAATCCAGTGATTGATATCATGAGCATCGATCTATGCCATTGGTATACAATGACATGCATTAACCAAGTCAGTGAGCCTGACCAGCCGATCCCTTTAGTCGCCTCTTACGACAAGCATAGTCACCTCTTAGGGCAAGCATGGGTTGCTGAAGACCTATTCTCACCCGGATCTTCATGGGTCAGATAGGTGCAAGATGACATTCTGACACTACACATGAAAATCATAGTCTGCTTGAGGCCTAGGAACTCATTCGGGTGAGGTGAGGTGAGGTGAGGTGAGGTGAGGTGAGGTGAGGTGAGGTGAGGTAAGGTGAAATGGAGTTTAAAGTCGCGTCCAAGATTAATGCACTTATATAGCGACATGCATGCACGTTTGTTTGTGTGTGTGGCTGCTTGTACGAGTCCGGACTGATGCCGATTTATAGTGCTAGCACACTGAGATACCATGCCGCAGTTTAACATGAATACCCCACTCAGACACAGTATACTGACTCCGAGCCGACCAGTCCTTGTTTTAGCCCCTTAATGACGAGCATCAGACAGGGTAACAAGTACCATCTTTTAATGTCTTTTGGTATGACACGGCCGGGGATCGAACCCCGGACCTTCCGCTCTCCGGGCGGACGCTCTACCACTAGAGGCGGTCTGGAACTCATGTGGACTCAGCATCCTCACTTGACATAAGTAACACCAACAGCTTTCTGCACAAACCTCGTCATGATACACATCCTGCAGCTGTACGATATTTGGGTGACCTTGACACATCCTAAGTAACTGTATCTCCCGGTGACATTCCACTCGCCGACTGATTATCTTCACCGCGTATTGTATGTTGGTCTGTTTGTGACGACACTTTCTGTAAACATACATACATTTGAGAACCATGTTAGCAAAGGTTTACACCCATTCTTTAACATGAGGTCATAGTAAATGATAGATTTCCATCCACATGTAATGGGTGATCATGATAATGAATATTAGACAAAGGTAAGCACTGAAAGATGGCCATGGTTATTAACAAAACAAAATTAGAACAATGTTCCAGTTGATTCATAAACTCTTTCCAAAATTTGACAAGGGAAAGAAATGTACTCGAATACTTGCTTGTCATGATTGCTTAATGTTGCCTATCATAATGAAAGGAGGTGGGCCAAATTGTAAGAGGTGCAGCAAATGTTGCTTGCATATCAAGGTATTTCAGAAACACAAACTGTAGAGTGAGTGAGTTGGGTTCAACGCCGCTTTTAACAGTATTCCAGTTATATAACGGTGTGTCAGCTTAATGTGGGAGGAAAGACCGAAGTGATGCAGGCCTAAGACGTTTACCACTTCGGTGAAACCCACAAGCACGGATATGGTGCTGACAAACCTAGAAACATAATTGGGGCGAACCGGGATTCGAACCCACAATCACAGGTTTCTGGCATGCTCAAGGGACACAACTCTAGTGAATCGCAGCGCCTTAGACAACTGGGCCACCTATGCCCCCCAGAAACTGTAGACATCAGTAGCCAGAAATGAAGAGAGCGAAACCAAGAGATGGGGTTGAATTGCATCTACTGTAGTATTTATTCAAATAACTGTATCACATGCATCTCAAATCTGAGGGTGCATTTTTCAACTGACCTGCATATAGAGAAGCTCCCATCTCCTAATGGAGGATCTTTCAAGTCAAGGTCATAGTGCTGGAAGAATGGGGAGTTCTGAAACATTAGACAGAATCTATTCTCAAACACATTATCAGGATTATGGAACAGGATTGTAATACATGCTGTGTGAAAAGTTGTTGAGATGTGATAACATAGAGGTCATCTATAATATCACTACCTGTAACAGTACACTAAACCTTTGTGCACTGTACCAGACTACAAGACGCTTGTCCAGCACTTACTTTGAGATGACTAGTACACTCATGGTTGTCAAGCACTTACTTTGAGATGACTAGTACACTCATGGCTGTCAAGCACTTACTTTGAGATGACTAGTACACTCATGGCTGTCAAGCACTTACTTTGAGATGACTAGTACACTCATGGTTGTCAAGCACTTACTTTGGGATGACTAGTACACTCATGGTTGTCAAGCACTTACTTTGAGATAACCAGTACACTCATGGTTGTCAAGCACTTACTTTGAGATGACTAGTACACTTATGGCAGTCAATCACTTACTTTGAGATGACTAGTACACTCATGGCTGTCAAGCACTTACTTTGAGACAACTAGTACACTCATGGTTGTCAAGCACTTACTTCGAGATGACTAGTACACTCATGGCTGTCAAGCACTTACTTTGAGACAACAAGTACACTCATGGTTGTCAAGCACTTACTTTGAGACAACAAGTACATTCATGGTTGTCAAGCACTTACTTTGAGATGACTAGTACACTCATGGCTGTCAAGCACTTACTTTGAGACAACTAGTACACTCATGGCTGTCAAGCACTCACTTTGAGATGACTAATACATTCATGGCTGTCAAGCACTTACTTTGAGATGACTAGTACACTCCTGGTTGTCAAGCACTTACTTTGAAATGACTAGTACATTCATGGCTGTCAAGCACTTACTTTGAGATGACTAGTACATTCATGGCTGTCAAGCACTTACTTTGAGACAACTAGTACACTCATGGTTGTCAAACACTTACTTTGTGATGACTAGTACATGCATGGCTGTCAAGCACTTACTTTGAGATGACTAGTACATTCATGGCAGTCAAGCACTTACTTTGAGATGATTAGTACACTCATGGTTGTCAAGCACTTACTTCGAGATGGCTAGTACACACATGGCTGTCAAGCACTTACTTTGAGACAACTAGTACACTCATGGCTGTCAAGCACTTACTTTGAGATGAGTAGTACACTCATGGTTTTCAAGCACTTACTTTGAGATGACTAGTACACTCATGGCTGTCAAGCACTTACTTTGAGATGAGTAGTACATTCATGGCTGTCAAGCACTTACTTTGAGATGACTAGTACACTCATGGTTGTCAAGCACTTACTTTGAGATGACTAGTACACTCATGGTTGTCAAGCACTTACTTTGAGATGACTAGTACACTCATGGCTGTCAAGCACTTACTTTAAGACAACTAGTACACTCATGGCAGTCAAGCACTTACTTTGAGATGACTAGTACACTCATGGCAGTCAAGCACTTATTTTGAGCTGACTAGTACATTCATGGCTGTCAAGCACTTACTTTGAGATGACTAGTACACTCATGGTTGTCAAGCACTTACTTTGAGATGACTAGTACACACATGGCAGTCAAGCACTTACTTTGAGATGACTAGTACACTCATGGCACTCAAGCACTTACTTTGAGATGACTAGTACATTCATGGCTGTCAAGCACTTACTTTGAGATGACTAGTACACTCATGGTTTTCAAGCACTTACTTTGAGATGACTAGTACAGAGCAGGTTTGACTCATCGGGCTGATGTTCTCGGGTGGGGTGGAGTAGACTACTGCTGATCGTGTTCTCAGTGAAGATGATGGACGGAGCCACATATGAATAGCCCTGGCAATAACAAACACACTTCTTTGTAAACCACACAAGATATGAGGTAATTTTAAAATCAGAATAAAGATTGGATAACAGAAAACTATGGTGATTTTGATGACAATCTTGAGAAGGGTTCAGTCCCTGCACAATGGTGGCATGGGTGGCCCAATTGTCCAAGGCACTGGAATTCATAGTACAGAGTTATGTCCCTTAGGTGTGTCAGGATCCTATGATTTGCTTTGATTATGATTCCTGATTTGTCAGCACCTTTGCATGTTGAGGGTTTTACCAAACTAGTAACCATCCAAGACCTGCATCCTCCAACATTTGCTTAAGTCATAAACTCAAACATTGTTAAGCATGCTGAAAGCTCACTCACTCTCACTCACTCACTCACTCACTCACTCATGTGTATGATCTCACCTTGAACAGTTTCTCCCCGTTCATGGGAACAATGGCAGGAGAGTCTGCAGCCTGCATCGCTGTGAACTCTTCCGAGAAGTTGCTCACATCTAGCTCATGTCGGATTTTGGGCACAAATGGTGCTGGAACTTTCTTCCGTGACAGATCTTGCCAATTCAGACCCTGAAAAAGACCACAAACAAAAACTGTTTACATCAAAGAACCAAAGCACTCCTTCTACAGGACCTGGGGTAGAAGAGATCCTCAACAACTACAGCTCGCTGAATGAGCTGAGTAAAATGAGGCTCAGTTGGTCACAATGCGTCACATGGCTGATTGTATGATCTCATTCTCTGCTCATCTCTGCCATCAGCCATCTGGCCCACACTTGATCATTTTCAGGCCGCCATGCTACAGTTGTAATATTGCAGTAGCATAAATTGTTTTCAATTCTCAGATCATCTATGCCCTGTAATGCTGTCATAAATAAACTGACTTCTCATCGTCTTAAAATAATTTAGTGTCCAAGCAAATGATTCCTCTACCCTTTAGGAAATTGGAAGGATCCTGTGTCAAACAAAGATTGTATAAATATTTCAGACAAGAATTTTTTATGTCCATATTGCTTAAATATTGCTGGTTTACTTTAATAGCACACATATTTCTTTAGTATCTCCTTCAAAATATTCCTCCATAACTGAGTTGAAGATAAATCCTTGATTGTGGACCTGGGAGACAAGGCAAGTCTGTTCTCACCTTGAAGAACGGATGTTTCTTGATACCCTCAGCCCCTTGAGAGCCAAGCCGCTTCAAAGGATCTTTTGTTAACAATCGCAGTATGAAGTCTTTGGCGTCCCCTGAGAAATCACTTGGAATTGGAGGGTTGCACTTCAATATTCTCCTGGCAAATACAGTAGGCAAATGTACAACTTCAAAAACAAAAATTTCTATGTTCAGAAAATGTGTCAAAATGCAAAATACATATTCATCACAACACTAATATGAATCTTGAGACAGTCAAGACTAAATGTGGCAACTCGTGAAATACATGTTGATCACAACATGAACACTGAAACTCAGGCTGGAACAAGTCCAAATTTACTACCCATGTACCCGACCCCCTCTTACCCGATCCTACTCATGTGCCTGCTGTAGCTCTCAAAAGTTGGGTACAAAATGTCCGATTGGGAATTGTTTTACCTGATCCTTGCAAAAACTATTTAGATCCTAGGTTTTCGGACATCATATGTTTTCGGACGGCCATGTTTATGGCGATTACTCACGCTATAATGGGGTGTGTAGCATCACACAGACATCGTAAATAGCCAGATGATGTTTCTAAGTGAAATTTGTCTTTCATGAGAGAATGAGATGTTTTAAAGTTCCTCATGTGATTAGAGAGAAAACAACGAATGTTTCTTAAGCGTTCTAAAACCAAAAACATTGGCATATACACTTATTAAACGATCTGGTCATACATAAACTGAAGTTGACTGAAGCTTTATCTTTAATAAAACATATGAAAGTCAGAAGGAATGTGTGCATAGTCAGTAAGAAATGTGAACATCAGTGACTTGTAGTGTTACCATGGAGTTAAAGTGAATTTTTGTCATTAAACAATATATCACATGACTAACCACAGGTCTCGGTAGTCCTGTGGGTACACAGGTCCTACTCAGTACCCACCCGACCCGAGTCCCCGAGTTACTGCCCCAGCCCTAACTGAGACAGATGACATACTGTTGTGATGATATTTGTGTATAGTTCACGTACTTGGATATTTCTGACTGTGAGTTCTTCTCTCCATCCACAGTGAAGGGGGATGCCCCTGTGAGCAGCTCGTATGTCAGGACCCCTAGGGACCACCAGTCTACAGCCTGGGAACAGAGGACAGTGAACACACTTACAGACAACGTAAACACATGTACAGAGAAGTAAACACAGACAGACTGACAGACAGTGATTTATCTGGGATTCTAAACAAAGTGCCCCTTGGCAAGAAAATTGGGAACAAATCACGTTATTGGTCAAAATTTGATTTTCTTTTTAATGTTTTTATTTTTGTAAATTTGGAAAGAATTAGGAAATTCTAAATTCAAACTGGGAATTTTTACTTTTGCTGCACACTTGAGGCTGAATATCGCCCTCTTGGCATTTCTTGATAAATCCCTGACATCAGGCATCGCAGGCTATACAGTATCCTGCAGTCATGGGTGAGACTCTCCCTTATGTTATCAATAGCTTTCCAAAAGTAAAACGTTTGACAAGTGTGTCAGCAGCCCAGTCAAAATCTTCACTAAATGCCCCAAACTTATCACAAGACATATTAACTTCAAGCACAATCACACAAAAACACAGGAACTAGTGTTATATACATGTAGTATAACAATCAGCAGACAGTGTTCCACAGTATAACAACCAGAAAACAGTGTTACTCAGTATAACAACCAGGAGACAGTTTTACACACTATAACAACCAGGACCTAGTGTTACACAGTATAACAACCAGGAGACAGTGTTAAACAGTATAACAACCAGGAGACAGTGTTACACAGTATATGAACCAGGAGACAGTGTTACACAGTATAACAACCAGGAGACAGTTTTACACACTATAACAACCAGGAGCTAGTGTTACACAGTATAACAACCAGGAGACAGTGTTACACAGTATAACAACCAGGAGACAGTGTTACACAGTATTACAACCAGGAGCTAGTGTTACACACTATAACAACCAGGAGACAGTGTTACACAGTATAACAACCAGGAGCTAGTGTTACACAGTATCACAACCAGGAGACAGTGTTACACAGTATAACAACCAGGAGCTAGTGTTACACAGTATAACAACCAGGAGACAGTGTTACACAGTATAACAACCAGGAGACAGTGTTACACACTATAACAACCAGGAGACAGTGTTACACAGTATAACAACCAGGAGACAGTGTTACACAGTATAACAACCAGGAGACAGTGTTACACAGTATAACAACCAGGAGACAGTGTTACACGGTATAACAACCAGGAGACAGTGTTACACACTATAACAACCAGGAGCTAGTGTTACACAGTATAACAACCAGGAGACAGTGTTACACAGTATAACAAGTATTTGTCACAGAGTGACGAAATATCCCCCGCCTGTACACCATAGTACCAAATATGAAGACAATCCAGCGATTAGTTCTTGAGATATTGTGGCAACACCGTTTTCCAACTCCAAAAACAGATTTGCCTGCTGTGACCTTGAAAATGGGGTCAAGGTCACCAAATCTGACAGGTGTATGCGGTGTCTGTATATACACTATAGTTCCAAATATGAAGACAATCCAGCGATTAGTTCTTGAGATATCGCGGCAACACCGTTTTCTAACTCCAAAAGCAGATTTGCCTGCTGTGACCTTGACAATGGGGTCAAGGTCACCAAAACCGACTGGTGTCTGCGGTGTCTGTATATACACCATAGTTCCAAATATGAAGACAATCCAGTGTTTAGTTCTTGAGATATCGCGGCAACACCGTTTTCTAACTCCAAAAGCAGATTTGCCTGCTGTGACCTTGACAATGGGGTCAAGGTCACCAAAACCGACTGGTGTCTGCGGTGTCTGTATATACACCATAGTTCCAAATATGAAGACAATCCAGTGTTTAGTTCTTGAGATATCGCGGCAACACCGTTTTCCAACTCCAAAAGCAGATTTGCCTGCTGTGACCTTTAAAATGGGATCAAGGTCACCAAAACCGACTGGTGTCTGCGGAGTCTGTATATACACCATAGTTCCAAATATGAAGACAATCCAGTGTTTAGTTCTTGAGATATCGCGGCAACACCGTTTTCCAACTCTAAAAGCAGATTTGTCTGCTGTGACCTTGAAAATGGGATCAAGGTCACCAAAACCGACTGGTGTCTGCGGAGTCTGTATATACACCATAGTTCCAAATATGAAGACAATCCAGTGTTTAGTTCTTGAGATATCGCGGCAACAACGTTTTCCAACTCTAAAAGCAGATTTGTCTGCTGTGACCTTGAAAATGGGATCAAGGTCACCAAAACCGACTGGTGTCTGCGGAGTCTGTATATACACCATAGTTCCAAATATGAAGACAATCCAGTGTTTAGTTCTTGAGATATCGCGGCAACAAACAGGTGGGACGTACGGACGGACGTACGGACGTACGGACGGTCGTGAATACTATATCCCCCGCTTCGCGCTTTCGCGCGGCGGGGGATAACAACCAGGAGACAGTGTTAAACAGTATAACAACCAGGAGACAGTGTTACACAGTATATGAACTAGGAGACAGTGTTACACAGTATTACAACCAGGAGACAGTTTTACACACTATAACAACCAGGAGCTAGTGTTACACAGTATAACAACCAGGAGACAGTGTTACACAGTATAACAACCAGGAGACAGTGTTACACAGTATTACAACCAGGAGCTAGTGTTACACACTATAACAACCAGGAGACAGTGTTACACAGTATAACAACCAGGAGACAGTGTTACACAGTATCACAACCAGGAGACAGTGTTACACAGTATAACAACCAGGAGCTAGTGTTACACAGTATAACAACCAGGAGACAGTGTTACACAGTATAACAACCAGGAGACAGTGTTACACAGTATCACAACCAGGGGACAGTGTTAAACAGTATTACAACCAGCAGCTAGTGTTCCACAGTATAACAACCAGTAGCTAGTGTTCCACAGTATATGAACCAGGAGACGGTGTTACACAGTATAACGACCAGGAGACAGTGTTACACAGTATAACAACCAGGAGCTAGTGTTACACAGTGTTTCACAAATCAACTATCTACCTGTGTACAGTATATTAATCAGGAGCCAGTGTTACACAGTATAACAACCAGGAGACAGTGTTACACAGTGTTTCACAAATCAACTATCTACCTGTGTACAGTATATTAATCAGGAGCCAGTGTTACACAGTGTAACAACCAGGAGCCAATGTTCAAAACAGTACATAAACTCACAAAATCATGGCCAGATCTTCCTTGAACAACCTCAGGTGCCATGTATTCGATTGTCCCACAGAATGAGTATGCTCGATGTGTCTGTGAGTGGAGAAATCAGCATTTTATACATAATAGTTTTGTTAACAAGAATATAAAATACACCATACACAGCACATCAACAAAAAATGTTAATTGACAGATGACACATCTTGTACACAAACAACATAATTACACCATTTAACACAAAAATATAGCTAGCTGAACTTCAGAGGAATTAACACACGACTGTCAGAAAGAGAGTGAGTATTCATTTAAGCTGCAATATTCTAGCCATGTCAGGGGTCGGGGCCACAAGAATGGACTTCACATATTGTACTAATGCAGGGAATTGAAAACCCACTACACTACAAGGGCAACTCACAGCATCGCTGGCCAGGAACTCCTTGCTGAGGCCAAAGTCAGTCAGTATGATATGTCCATGGGAGTCCAGCAGGATGTTCTCCAGCTTGATGTCCCGGTAGATGATGCCCAGCTGGAACACAAGCCCCACATTGTACACACATAACACTCCACGGAATACTCAGATGTTGAAACAAAGGGAATCCATGAAGTTTCCCTCCGTTCAAGCCAAAACACACGTCCCCATCATGTTAATACACTCTATACAAATCCTAAATATACTACTCAACATGTTCTCAGGACTAAAATAGTTATCTTTGGTCCATCCCATCCACATAACAGTTTGTTACTGATTCAAATCTTGTGTAACATCCTGATTCTATAGACAACAAGTGTATTTTTTCTTTGTTGTTTAACGCCACAATCAGCAAATTCCAGCTATACGGCGGCGGTCTGTAAATAACCGAGTCTGAACCAGATAATCAAGTGATTGACATCAAGAGCATCAATCCACAAAATTGGGATATATGCATCAACCAAGTCATCGAGCCTAACCACCTGATCCCATTAGTCGCCTCTTACGACAAGCATAGTCGCCTTTTACGTCAAGCATGGGTTGCTGAAGACCACTTCTAACCCGGATCTTCACGGGTCAGACAACAAACGAGGTGTGTGTTCCACTAGTTAAGTGCCACACATCACACCAAAATAGTAACTCAAACAGCCGGGGCTCAATTATCCAAAGCAACCTCAGTGCTGTGACTATTGTAAATCAATTCAATGATGAGGTACAGGAGTTACCATGGTTACCATAGTCCTAGCATGAGGGTCTCCATCTAATACAGGTCCCTCGTGTTACTAGTGAAAGTTCAACCAACCCACACCCTCAATCACCTTATGAAGGGTCTCCAGGGCTAAGACGATCTCTCCAATGTAAATTCTAACTTCGGCCTCTCTGAAATGTTCTTTCTGGTAGAGGTGTGTGAACATCTCACCCCCGCCAACGTAGTCTGTTAGGAAACAAGAAGAGGACATATTATCTCTAATCACATTAAGTACATCTTATCATGTGTGGCTTAACACTTCACTCACTAATATTCCAGCTACATGACATTGGCCTGAACATAATCGAGTACAGACCAGATAACCAGTGATCAATATGGTGAGCAACGATCCACGCCATTGTGATGCAATGACATGCAAGTCAAGCAAGTCACTAAGTCGGACCACCCAATCCATTTGATGCACAAACTAGCCAGTTAATGTGATCAGTAGAACCAACAAGGGCCTTGATTCACACTGTAATGACTGAATGAGTCCTTATGTTGTGTATTGGAAGTGTGAAGGCTTAGCTATATGATCACTTTATAGAAGGGGATCTTGATCAATATGCGCAATCTTCCTTGATAGGACCTTGACAATGACAAGACTATCTGTCACACCTGTGAGAGACATTGATCATTATGGCGACAGAGAATTATGCTTTCAGTTCAGGTGTGAACAGGAGGTGAAACCTGGAGCCAATTAATCTTTTTGTGGTTTCTCAGAGCAGGGCACAAAAGGGTCAGTGACAATGTGACTTTTTTCCTGAAACTAAATAACAATTGAAGAAGTGAGTTTACCCAGAATGAGATGGAGCTTGGCGTCAGTCTGGAAGGCATAGTGGAGTGTGACCAGGAAGGGAGACTGCCGGATAGCTTCGAGAACTTGTCTCTCTGTCTTTGTGTGTTCTGTTGTCTTTGTCTTCTGGACTATGCTGGCCTTCTTCAAAACCTTCATGGCGTACAGTTTCTTGTCATCTGAACCGCCAACTTTACGCACCAGGAACACTTTCCCGTAAGCTGCAGAAACAACACAACAAAACTCCTATTGCTATATCACAAACTCCTGTAAACTAACAAGTCTGGCCACACAAAACTACTGACAGCGATTGATGGTATGAGCAAAGTCTGGCCACATAAAACTACTGGTAGTGAGTGAGTGAGTTTGGTTTAACGCCGCTTTTAACAGTATTCCAGTTATATCACGGCGTGTCAGCTTAATGTGGGAGGAAAGCCCGAAGTGATGCAGGTCTCAGACGTTTACCACTTCAGTGAAACCCACGAGCACGGTTATGGTGCTGACAAACCTAGAAACATAATTGGGGCGAACCGGGATTCGAACCCACAATCATAGGTTTCTGGCGTGCCCAAGGGACGCAATTCTGCACAGCGAATCGCGGCGCCTTAGACGACTGGGCCACCCATACCCCCCCTACTGGTAGTGATTGATGGTATGAGCAAAGTCTGGCCACATAAAACTATTGGTAGCGATTGGTGTCATGACCATTTTCCGATGTTGGGGTACAATGGCAGCAATCACTGAGCCAAAAAAAACCAATAGAGTGAGAAAAGTGAGTGATTGGGATTACGTTATTTCAACCCTGGTCCCTGCTAGATTTAGAACATTTACATCATTGACAGTATTGTCAAAACAGAAATCACGAAAGACTGTAAAAAACCCAGTGGCCTCTCACCTCCTGTTCCTAAAACTTTCAGCAACTCGAAGTCCTCCATGCCAACCCTCTCCTTCCCACTGCCAGTCATGTTCACTGAAATGGGGAAAAATAACATTCAATTATTAAATTACCATTACAACATTACTCAACAAAATAATTCCTAGGGGTATAACATCATGCAAATTCACAACAGAAACTACCATGACGACCATCAGAGCTGTTTTCAGCTGAAAAATATATCTTAATTTGGACAGAACAAAATACGAAAACGTGTATTGAAAATTAACACCAGAATCTAAACTAATTCTTTTGTACTTTTAACATAAGCTACATATCATTCATTTGTCACTGTTGAGAGAAAGATCTATCGAAAATGACCCAAAGGACACATTTGGCCAGCTTGCCATATTAAGTTAAAGGCTTTGGCACCTCTCTTCAATATGTGGCATGTTATTACATCAGTTCATAAAGCCTTGTATGGCACCATGCCTCACACTTTTATCCAAGTATCGTCAGCACCAGTTGTTACCACGACTTTCTTTACACAGAAAAGTATTGGGGCATGTCATGCTTCATGACTGGTCTTGGATGATTGATTGCTAACTGAAGAGAGTCTGTTATGTTCATAAAACATTAATATAACATACTTCTGTCTGTCTCTAATTAATACTGGTCAGTAAAGGTCAGTGTAAATAGACCCTTCAAGGCTAAGATTTCTTTGAACTGGGCATCTTGATCTTTGGGATGGACATTGAGTGAAAGCCTGTTAATCTTGATGCCACCATCGTCAATGAAATTGTCTGGATTAACATTTCCATATTTCAGTATATTGCAAGCTCTACCAGGTTGGGATAGTGAAATTGATAGTGCTGGTATGATAATACACCAATGTATCGGTGGATCGCGATTTTTTACTTCTCGTTACTAGTATCGATCATAGTCGCAAACTAAGTAAAAGTATCGATTCTTACCTTAAATGTTCGTTTTGATAACTGTTACACTGAAAGCTAATTAGTAATGAAAGTTTATAGTGAAAACGTAAATATTTTCATCCATTGTGCCATACTTCACACTGCCAAGTGTATATCCTGTCTATACAAAAGATGGCTTAGGGACCACAGATAACAGCATGTGCAAGTATCATGATACGCATCTTCCCGAGGCAAAGGAGTTAACTGACTATAAAAGTCCAGTTTCCACCCTTGCCGAACTAGGCTGGTATTATGGAGTTCCGTTTTGTCTGGGCTAACGAGTCTATGCATAGTCCAATCAAAATCGCGCATCGAAATCAAAATCCGGTTCGTAAACTGCCATGCAGATTTCGATCGATTGCTGGATTTGCAAAGCATGTGCATAGCCAATACGTTGTCAGCAGATATTTTTTCAAATCCGTTCATGTTTTTAATCAAGGTGCTCACGTGATTTGATGCATTTTGCGATGTAAGACCCGTTTTATCACAATATAGATCTTGATTATCGATCAGATCGTCCTGACTGGGCGCCACCTTTTTGTGTGAAGCAAACGCAAGTGATACGAGAGGTGGAATCTGATTGGTCCATAGGAGAGGCTTAGAAGGGACATAATTGGTAATAGCCACTGGGGGAGCAACAGTCGAGGCCAGTATTCAAGCCTAGTTCGGCAAGGGTGGAAACTGGACTTTTAAAGTCAGTTAACTCTCTTGCCTCGGAAAGATGCATGATACGTATCGGATCGTAAGTAAGGTATCGTGATACGTATCGGATTGCACAGTAAGTGTATCGTCCCAGGCCTAGAAATTAAGCAGGGTTGGTTAATATTGCTGACTGAAAGTCTAATGAAACTTTAGTGCAAATGTCCTGGCCATGCTGGTAAAACATAGTGAACTCAATGACACAGCAGATAAGCAAGGCAGCATAAATGATATGCTAAACCTGGTGAAATCAATGACCCAAATAATATGTAGGGTGGTGCAAATGGTTCACTGAAGTGTAGGTATGCACAAATGCCAACACAAAGTACACTTTGTTTTAACCTGGATCTAATTGTTTGCACATGCAGCACATGAGTATTGTATCAACCAGTGCTGTATTAACCAACTACAACTGAACATCTTAGAGTAACAGTGCCGCATGATGAAGTGGAATAATACCATGCTGTCTTTAGTTTTTTTGTTTGTGAGTAAGAGAGTTGGGTTTAATGCCAGCTTTTAACAGCATTCCAGTTATATCGTGGCATGTCAGCTTAATGTGGGAGGAAAGCAGGTCTAAGACGTTTATCACTTCAGTGAAACCCACGAGCGGGGTTATGTTGCTGACAAACCTAGAAACATAATTGGGGCGAACCAGGATTCAGACCCACAATCATAGGTTTCTGGCGTGCCCAAGGGATGCAACTCTGCACGGCAAATTGAGGCGCCTTAGATGACTGGGCCATCTGTTCCCCCTAATTGTTTGTGTGTTTGTTTGGTGTTTAATGCAGCACTCAGCAACATTTCAGCTATATGACAGTGGTCTGTAAATAATCAAGCCTGGTCCAGACAATCCAGTGGCTGACATCATCTGCATCGATCTACACAATTGGGACGCGATGACATGCATCGGTGAACCTGACCACCAGATCCTGGTAGTCGTCTCTCCACAAGCATAGTTGCCTCTTGTGACAAGCGAGGGTTGCTGAAGACCAATTCAAACCCATCCATTGTGACGGGCAAGCCTGAGTGCAGTCAGTGTGCTCTACATGTCAACCCACTAAACAAGACATGGGTTGTGCATTGTTTCATCGGATCTTCTATCCAACACAGGGGCACACAATGAAGCACAGGTGTTGCAGATGACTTTAGACAAATCAGATATTCAATGCAATCAAATAAATGTCTTGTAACATGTGGCCACATAATCAAACACCAGTCACAGTGCTGGAAACTTGGGTCAAAGTTCACTTAGATTCATCATTGAGCTAACACACTTTCAGCCCTATGATCAATGACAATATCAGAACATGTTTTAAGGCATATATGGTGCTGAAGGCCTATGGGAAAGGCAGTCTGTGACTTCAGTCACTGATCCGTATCACGAATCTAGTAAAATTTCTTTTGGTTTTGTAAATTTTGCAAAGAGAAATCCATACATTCACACAAAGATCTACTGAAAATGATGTCAGGTGACCAGTTCAGGCTAGAAGACTCAAAGTGTTTGGGCACAGATTAGTAACGTGACTGCAGAAATTCTGACACACAGAAACCAAAATGTAAGATGCTAAACTATTTTTTTCAGTCCTATTTGCACTGAGATTCTGTTCTGATACACATGTTGTCATTGTCATGATTTGTTTGTTTGTTTGCTGCACTCAGCAATATTCCAGTTCTATGATGGCTGTCTGTAAATAATCGAGTCTAGACCAGAAAATCATGTGATTGACATCATGAGCACTGATCTACGCAATTGGGATATGATGACATGCATCAACCAAGTCAGCTAGCCTGACCAGCCAATCCCGTTAGTCGCATCTAACGACAAGCATAGTTGCCTCTTATGGCAAGCATGGGTTGCTGAAGACCTATTCTACTCGGATCTTCAAGGGTTTCACTGTCAGGAAGCACATAAGTGTTTGTTTGTTTGTTTGTTTGTTTTCTGTTTAACACTGCACTCGGCTATATGACGGCAGTCTGTAAACAATCGAGTCTGGACCTGACAATCCAGAGATTGACATCATGAGCATCAATCTGTGCAATTGGGATACCATGACATGCATTAACCATCAACCAACTAATTTCGTTAGTCGCCTCTTACAAGAAGCATAGTCCCTGTTTACGGCAAGCATGGGTTGCTGAAGACCTATTCTATTCTGGATCTTCACGGGTCAGACAATAAGTGAGACGTGAGTTCAACTAGTCAAGTGCCACACATCACACCAAAACCGTTACACAAACACCCGGGACTCCATTATCCAAAGCAACCTTAGTGCTATGACTATTGTAAATCAATTCAATGATAAAGTCCGGGAAGTAACCATGGTTACATAGTCATATTCAAGACCAATTCTGACCCGGATCTTCACGGGTGGAAGCACTCAAGTGATACATCTGTATACCACTCTGATGTAGTGCTGTTCCAATAATGGATTTAATTTACTACTGGCTGCTTACAACACGTCCAGTTGGTAACAAAAATCAATAACAGATTCAATGAGCAATTATTTGTGCACATATACATTCCTTCTTATTTGTTCCAAAAAGAAATTAGACTGTAAAGTGTCTTTCTTTAATTTCTGCTAAACATTTAAAATTTAACTGGTCAGCTCAGTTTCAAATTCATATAACATGGATGACATATCAACATGTTTGTTATTGTTGTATTGAGTACAGGGTGATACAGCTTATATCACTCAGCTGTTGGCTACTACATACAGAACAAGACAAAACATGAGCAGGGCTCAAGAATACCCCCGACCTCAACTCAAACATATTTTTAACTTCAAAATATGAAAATACACATATCAAACTCGAAACTTTGCACTGCATTACTCCTACTAGTACCCTACCCGTGAAGTTCCGGGGTAGAATAGGTCTTCAGTAACCCATGCTTGCCGTAAAAGGCGACTCTGCTTGTCGTAAGAGGCGACTAACGGGTTTGGGTGGTCAGGCTAGCTGACTTGGTGGATGCATGTCATCGATCCCAATCACAGGATTGCCTGGTCCAGACACGATTATTTACAGACCGCCGTCATATAGCTGGAATATTGCTGAGTGCGGCATTAACCAACAAACAAACAAACTGTGCCCCCAAATTGAAAAAGAATCCATGAAGTAGTTTTTAATTTATAGGTCACACAAATGTTGGAAGTAAAAAAATATTCTTCACTACCGGTAGTGTTATTTTCACTGAAGGAAACACATCACTTTCTGTCCCTGCCGTAAAATATCACTGTTCTAAACTTTAAAGATCTCAGTCTTTCACACTTACATATATATAAGTGACTTATATTTCACAGTTGTCACTCCTTCCTGTGCTCACCAAGGAACACATCTCACAGCAGCAATTGATGCTTCATTTTTCTGTGAAACATGATTTTCCATATATGGTGCACGTTACAAAGAATATCTATAGTCAAGGAA